GATTTTTTTTTTTTTTTAATTCTAACACAAGACACAGTGGTACACCCTGGGAGAGATTCAAACAGAAATAATATGAGTGTCTTTTTCTCCTGTATCTCATATTCCATTTTGAAAGAAAAGACTTTTTTTTTTTTTGGAGACAGAGTTTCACTCTATCACCCAGACTGGAGGGCACTGCCAGGGCTCGGCTCACTGCAACCTCCGCCTCCTGGGTTCAAGCAATTCTCTTGCCTCAGCCTTCCAAGTAGCTGGGATTACAAGCACATGCTATGACACCCAGCTAATTTTTTTGTAGTTTTAGTAGAGATGGGGTTTCACCATGTTGGCCAGGCTGGTCTCGAACTCCTGACCTCGTGATCCACCAGCCTTGACCTCCCAAAGTGCTGGGATTACAGGTTGTGAGCCACTGTGCCTGGCCAAGAAAAGCCATGTAATTATATCTGAGGAGTTCATCAATACCATATACTTGTCTGAGATGATGTAACTGAGTGGCATATCCCTTAAGAGCTACAGGGCATAAGAATAGAAAGAATTTATCATTGCCAAAGGTTCCTAGAGGACATGAAGATAAGCTTTTTCTTGAAATATGAATAGAATTTGAAATGAGAAACAAGGGGTAGAGATATTTAAAAAGAGAGAGATGGCATGGAGAAGATCTATAAGGCAGTAAGAATCTTGACGTGTCCCTGCGATTGTGGGAGTATTAAATTAAATAAAGTGCAAGGTGCCTTTTGGTCCATATCAGAAAAAAAAAAGTTAGAAATACAATTTCAGGTAAAATCAAATTCCTCCAGAGTTCAAGTAGGTAAATTAAGTGAGTGAAGAAGACTGGGTATATAATGAGAGAGAGTGGAAGAGACTATGGCGTGGTAGAGACCATGGCCAAAACTCATGAAAAAGGGGACACCACTAAGCTCCAGCCAATTCCAGTGAAAATTACGTTGATCAGAACTGCACTGGCCATATAAAAATTTCTCTCTGAGTCATATCTAGTATGCAAACTACGAATTTTCAATCACTGCTGGACTGCAGAGGGTAAGGACTGCTAGAACTAAAACCTTTAATTTTTATACCTACTTAAGGTTGTAGGGCAGAGCTGCAATAGAGAAAAAGTAGCATTTTTTTTTTTTTGAGACAGAGTCTCACTCCGTCACCAGGTGACAGGCCAGAGTGCAGTGGCACGACCTCAGCTCACTGCAACTTCCTCCTCCTGGGTTCAAGCACTTCTCCTGTCTCAGCCTCCCCAGTAGCTGGGACTACAGGCATGCGCCACCACATCCAGCTAATTTTTTTTTGTTGTTGTTAGTAGAGACGAGGTTTTATCATGTTGGCCAGGATGGTCTCGATCTCTTGACCTCGTGATCCACCCACCTTGGCCTCCCAAAGTGCTGGGATTACAGGCGTGAGCCACCGTGCCCAGCCAAAAGTAGCATGTTTTAATCAAGCTACAGAATGTAACATATGTATATGTAAACTATATTAAATGAAAGGGAATCGGTAGGGGTTACCAACTGCTATTAAAGTTTTTGCAAACCAAGTTTTAAATGAAATACACCTTACAACTGTATCTGCTGTTTAAACTGGACTAAACAATTTACAACCAAATTTTAGAAAACATTTATTGGCTTAAAATTTCTTCCAACTGTTTCATTTGCTTTTGAAACAAAAAAAAAAAGTAACTATATGGCACCTGTCCATTCTAAGGAGGAGGGAATTCTGGATATGCACTTTCCAGGCTTGGCCTCATCAGATACTTGATGAGTGAATCTTTATTTGCCATCACTTCCAATTGCCAACAGTGGATGCCACCAGGATATTTTGGTCACATTCATTTATGTACTGTGCCTGATCTGTTTTGGTCCATGAGCCTGGCTAACAGTAAAACCAGGTGGAGCTTGGAGGTTTACAACAGATGCTTTGGGGCTTGCAGATTCCTGAATTTGATAGAGTTCATAAATCACACAAAAATGTCCTATGTCAGTCCACTTCTAGTTTAGGTTTTTCTCCAACATAGTACAAAAGAACTGAAGTTTACGCTAAGAGTATAATTTGTAAACCTTCACAATATAAATAGAAGGTTTATTTATCAGAAAAGCTAATATGTCTTATCTTCTCCAGCAATAATTCCTGACAGGAGGAGGAGCTTAGTAACAGGTAAGAATGGGGTGGAATAAAGAATTTCACGTGAAGATTACAATAGTATGCTTCTATCTCAGTGCAATGTAACATTCCAGATGTTGACTACATTTCACTCAAAAGCAACTGTTAGAGTATGTGAATAATATAAATTTCTGAGATATAATAGGGCAGCCCTACTTTTTAATGCTGAGAAAATACTTAGAAGACCATCAAATTTTGAAAATATACTAATGAGCTACAGAGTCTGATTAAAACCAAAGGTGTTATGTTTTAAAAACATTCTTTGTGATTTACATAAGTATGGCTTACATTTCATCACTTATGACAATACTTTAAGGCAAATTTTGCAAAGATAGAAAACTCTCGGTAATAAAAACAATTCACAATAGCTCGTCATTAAGTCATTTTCAAAAAGCAAGGTTAAGACCTGAAGACTGTGTAAAAGAAGAGGAAACAAAGAGAAAAACAGTCCCCATATATTACTGTTCACTTGCTAAAAAGTAAACTACTAAGGCCTCAGAACACAAAACATGATATTTTCAATTATTTAATTTGATAATTATTTATAAATAATAAGTCCATCTAGATGTGAGGCAGATGCAAACAAAGGTGAACATCTCCTGTTAGCAAATTGTGGAGGACAGAATAGTTGGAAGTATCTTTCGTAGACAATACCTCCATGGGAAAGAACATTTACACATTTTTCAGTTTTGGTTAAGATCAAAATTTATTGCTCAGAATTCCCTTTAGTGAGGCCTGCTTTTCATAAATTTGAAGGAAAGCTATTTGGAGAATAGTTTGGAATTAGACAAAAACAAAAAAGGAAAGCTTTTCAAAGATACACCAAAAATTATCTAAGTAACGAAATTGGAATGTCATAAATTATACAGTTACACTATTAATAAGGTGCTATTTATATACAATAACCCAGACTTAAAAAATTCATTATATTTGGGATATATAGGACATAATTTATCTAGAGAATTTTAATTAAAATTATATACAACTAATTAGAGGAAAAAAGCTTTTTTTCTGTTCTGAATGTGATAATGTAGCCATATTGATTAGCTATCTGGAAAGGTCATTGTAAATCAAAGAGGTATTAACAAACTTGTAAGTAAGTGTGTAAATAACTTTGTTTCATTATTTTCTGATTTTGGAATGACTGCAAAGAGTGGCATACTCTTGCCTATAGAGCATAACACTGTAAACCTTGTACCTCCAACGGACATTCTAAATCAAAAAGAGCATGCTCGTAAGTATAACATGATTATAAAACTGAGACTGAGGCAAAATATTAGTCCAGCTAGATTTTACCTAATCAATTCCTGATAGGAAATTATTTGTATATATATAAAAAAAACCCTGTTACATTCTTTTACTTACATTCTATTATCAGAGGATATAAAAAAAATCAGGGACCCAGATAACTCAGTACTTGATTTTGACCAACAAGAAAGGAGTGCTTAAATTTAGTTTAGGGAAGAGATACTGAATGACCATAGCACAATCATCTTTTTAAACAAGTAAATATATTACCACAACTTACTGAAAAATTAACTTCTATGTGTACTATGTGCCCTATTGACATCGGTGACTTTGGGGAGTGGCTATGGAAATATAAACTTAATATCAACAGTTTTATCTTTCCTGATCACATTGTTAGAATTTCTTTATTTTAGAAATATTTCAAACAGATAATAAGAAAACTACATACCAAGATTCATCAATGATTTTGTTTATCAACTTCAAGAAAAACAGCAAAACTGATCATCGATTCCCTGCAAACCTTGCTAAGCTTGCCTTGCAGCATAGTGCTTCAGACCTAGTCTCTAGTGAATATTACTCAACTGTTGGTTTGTTTCTCTTAATTCAATTCAAGGACTGGCTTCAAAAATAAAAGAAAAATTTAAAAATGACTCATCCTTGTCTCATCTACTCCTTTTGCTAAACAATGTGCATATCAAATTTCATATTCCATATGCATAGCACAAAGAATGATTCTCTAGGATCGATAACTTAAGTACGGAATTTCAAATATTTTAGGAATCACAGAGGCACCATCATCCTAGTGTTAGGAAGTGAGAGTAAAATTATTTAACCTAAAGATTTCACAAATTCACAAGGGTTTTCACAAGAAGGAGTTCTGCTATCATGACTTATACAAATAGTTGATTGTCCTCATTGTTTATGAATCCATATAAATTCAGACACTTCTGTAAGTTTCTTGGAGAAATATTAACATTAGTTCCGAAAACGTCATTTTACTGAAAGAGTCAAAAACTAAGCATTTACTGGCTGATTTTAGAAAATATTACTTGAGCGCTGCAACCAAAACAAAATACTGGTTCCATATTTCTCACGCAATCAAAGAAGATTATGTGCAAGAACAAATTGCTGTTTTGCAAACAGACTGCAGATAAAAGTAAGAACATTTCTCTGGCAACACAGGACAGACTTCCTGTGTTTAAGTAATGTAAACAAAAACCTGCGGATATCAACGATACAGTTAACAGAGGGTTTGGAGACTATCACATACTTAAAACCATGCCAGCCCAATTGTATCTCCTAACAGATAAGGCATTAATAAACATTCTAAGTGGTTTCTGGCTAAGGCCTGTGGGTAATTTATATAATGCGTATATTTGTAGAAGACCTCTTTTCACCAATGAATATATTTACTTCTCAGAGATAAATTTAAAATCGTATAACCACAGTGTGCCAGCACTGATCAGATAGTATAGCAATGTATGTCAAAAGAAGCAACACAAACTGAAATCTTTCCCATATGTACGAATATTTGGTAGCTATGTAGATTCAAATATGAGAAAAAGTGCAGCTGTTATTGGCAATGGACTTACCAGTACTTGTAAGGAAGTTCACATTTCTCATTACACCTTCAGTGTAAGCCCCGGGCTCGTAACTGTCCATTTCACCCGTGACGATGTGAGCAACTCTTGCTGCCCGGCCTCTGATAGCACCCGCAGCACGGTCTAAATTATCAGCATCCTGGTCTCTTAAGGCTATGATACACTTGTTGACATCTTCCAGGATATGGCTTTCTGTAAGCAAATCAATTAAATTAGTTTTTGTGTGTGTGTGTTTAAAATCATACAAATATAGCATATTATAATTATATTAACTTCTGACTTCAGATAAAGTGCACACTGGAAATGAAGGACTTTGAGAATTATTTTTTAAAAAATGGAGTCATATTTTGCTTATATCCCTTTACCCTTTAATAGCAAAACCCATGAAATATAAAATGCTACATTTTTAAGATAAATTTATATTGACTGCACATTATTTCAGATTCCAGTTCCAGTAGATTAGATTTTAGAGTGACATAGAGGTAGAAATTAAAGAGTTTCTTAATTAAAATGAAAATAAAATATGTTATGATGAAATGCTATATTGTGAATGAAAGCAATATTATAAAACTTATATATACATAAGGTTTTTAAAAGATTGATTTAAACAAGTGAATTCCAGAGAAAGCTGCCTACTCTGAAGAGTGTCTCCTGAGCTCCTCTCCATTCTTCTTTAGATGAGTAGGGCATGAAGCTAGTAGGAAGTTATTGTAGCACAATAATATTTTCTTTCTCTATAAACTGATTAATACTCCCAGATAAAACTAATGAGTGAAGATGTGCAAATATGTGGAATATCAACAAACATGGGCAATGATATTTCTAAGAAATTAAAACAATACTAAAAGAATTACTGTTTTGGCTTCTGGCCTCATCACATGAATCCCCACCTAATATCCTTAACAACTATTTCTTTAAAACATATACAGAGAACTTTTATAACAAAAAGATCTCAGGAATTCCAGAGTGTATTATTAACTCTTTTTCTCTCTCTGTTGGTCTCTCTCTCTTTCTGTCGGTATCTCTCTTTCTGTCCTTCTCTCTATCTGCTTGTGTATATGTTTTGACTGTGTGTGTGAGCTACAGAGGACAATCACTCCTCGGATTCCTTACAGAATCACTTTTCCCTCTTATTGTACAGAAAATAAAATCAGACTGGGTGTGGTGGCTCACACCTGTAATCCTAATACTTTGGGAGACCCAGGAAGGAGGATGACTTGGAGCCAGGAGTTTAAGACCAGCCTGGGCAACACAGCAAGACCCTTTCTATACAACAAAATAAATTTAGCCAGGAGTAGCAGCATGTGCCTGTAGTCCTAGCTACTTGGGAAGCTGAGGTGGGAGGATTGATTGAGCCCAGGAGTTAGAAGTTCCAGTGACCTTTGATCATGCCACTACACTCCAGCCTGGATAAGACAGTGAGGCTCTATCTATCTATTTATCTATTAATATGTATATTTAAAATTTATTTATAAATTTATTCATATATTTAAATTATATGTATATAATTTTTTTAAAAAAGAAAATGAAGTCAAACTGCCATTGAATATGGTCCCTATTGACTTTTTGAGACCTGACTCCTACCATTCTGCTGCAGGCCCCTATGTTTCAGTTATACATATTTTATGATTTCCAAAATCCTTCGTGATCTTCCAAGCCTCTGTCCTGTGGGCATATTAGAACCTTGGCCTAGGCAGTCTGTCCCCTTTGACTTGCTTGCTCAACTCCTAACTATTCTTTCAAGCCACTAGGCAAATGTTCCTGCCTCAGGAAATCCATTCCCTCATTCTTCATTCCCTACCACAAAACCAGCTTTGTTCCATGTTGTTTGGGATTCACATAAAATGGTGAATTAGAGATTCTTCCTGTGTTTTAATTACTTGTTTATAAAACCATCTCTCTAGTAGAATTTGAAATATATCTGAGGAAAAGAATTTTGTCTTATTCCTTGAGGCAGTCTATGTAGCATATCTGTTATAATACTTGGTACTTGTTAGGCTAACAAGAATGCTTGTTGAATAAATGAAGCTCTCTTATAAGACATTCCTAAATCTTTGGTTATGAACACAGGTGAACACATATCTGTGATCTGAAATTAGGTAAATTTTACCCATATTATGGACATTCAAATCACTTACATGAAAAGTATTAAACTCTGAAAACCTTCATTATAAATTCACTAGATCTTTAACCTAATTGTAGCATTCACTTATGAATGTATCATTAAGGCTTATAGTAAATACAGTCACGGTCCAGTCTCAACAGAAAGCATATGCATGTATGTATATTATCATATTTCCCTGGAACAGAAGTATAGGTTTGAGTTTAGAAGGCATCATGATAATCATCAGTTTTTAAGAAGTCGACAGATGTGCACTTTAATGACACATTAAGAAGCCACTGTTTTTCCAAGTACATTGGAAAGATTTTTTTTTTTAACAAATGAAACATCTATATATTCAAAGAATGTTTAATCTGTATTCACTAAGGTGCTTACTTTTATATTGCAGAGCTATTTTTCTTAGTCCTATAAAAGTGAAAGAATATTTACAGAAAAAACAATGTCCATTCTTGGAAGATTGATAATATATAATAAACTACAATTTCTCTTTAATTAAAGATGAAACTATAGCTTGTACAAACTATTGTTTTCCTAGTGAATTTTGCAGAGGAGAAAATATACAAAGAATATTCACTAACAATGAATGAGTAGTTACCTCTTACTGCAGAAGTATAATCTATATGCTCATGAATTTATTAAAGCAGTGAATAAAAATATAGCAAGAATTTTTCTAGTTATTTTTTTGTTTGGCTTTACAGAAGATTATGTGATTATTGCTCACAATTAAATAATGCTGTCAGAAGCCATTGTGTTAAATCTTGTTGAAGAATTATAGAAGTAAGGCCAGATACGGAAACAAAAGTCTTATATAAATGTATACAGTATGAAAAAAGCAATAAGTGAAAAGAAGCTATAACCAGACTCAACTCAAAGCAGCTATAGTGAGAATATTGGAGAAGATGTGTAAATGATTTTTGAAATTATTGAGATTAAATATAGCACAAAAGTATTAGAAAAGGTTCACAAATCTTGTATTGTTGTGACACTTTTCCATTACCCTGAATGCTTTACAGAATGCTAGCAACAACTATTTGCATGAAGCTCTAAACATAGAATGCCAGAAAAAGAAAATCAAAATGTTAGGTACCTCCCACATATGCACGATAACTAAACATTAAACACAATTCTTAAAAATGATTATTTCTTTGCTATTTATATTTCTGGTGAATTTAAGTGGCTAAAAAACCTTCATGAAGGCTTGAGTTTTTAGGCCTGGCTACACAGCCTTTAAACCTCTAGGAAAGAAAAAAAACGCCAAATACCTTATATACAACTTCCTGCAGTTGAATCCCTTTAGACTTTGCTGCTGATGGAATGGGTTTACTATTTAAACACAGCAAAAGTCATTTGGCTCTCTCCTCAAATTATTTTTTTTTTCTAAAGTAGATGTACCTGAATTCAACAATTGCCTCATTTTTAAAATGAGGTTAAAAGAAACAGAATATGTTATTATAGAACAAGCACATTTAGAATATTATGTTTTGAAGGATTGTCACATAGTGAAGATTTTTCTTAATAGCTTCAGAGTATCGGCTTAACATTTGCTCTGAGGTGAGGGGTGGAATGTCCTGGTGTTAGTGTAAATGCTGAAACGCATTCATTTAAGAGGAAAGAATTGCTAAATTATTAGCAGTTTCTATCAGTCATTTTATAGCCACCTTGAGATGCAAAAGGTGATTTCTATTATGTTGGAAAATTGTAATACACAAGACAATAAGGGAACTGATCTTTGACTAAAAGGTACTTTCTTTGGTGCAAGCTTCTCTGGCTAACTCCATGTTCAGTCACTGCAGCAAGTGTAGCACAGTAAAATTCTGAAATGCATTTTTTAAATTATAATTTTTTCTAGCTGTTCAGTTTTATGTGTGTGTATCACCCAGGATGGAGTGCAGTGGCATAATCATAGCTCATTGCAACCTCAAACTCCTGGGCCCAATTGATCATCCCACCTCAGCTCCCAAGCAGCTAGAACTACAGGAACTCTCCACCATGCGTGGCTATTTCAATTTTTTATAGAGACAGGGTCTTGCTATGCTGCTCAGGCTGGTGTCAAACTCCTTGCCTCAAGCGATCCTCCTACCTCAGGCTCCTAAAGTGTTGAGATTACTGGAATGAATCCCTGCACCTGGCTGGTTTTCAACAAGTAAAGCCAGAATTTAAAGGTCAAATCTATTGTCCCAGGGAAAGTAGGAAACAAACAAAATTCAGGGAGAACAAAAAGGTAAATCATTGGCTTTCGAAAGCCAAAGTAGAAATTTGCAAGTCTGTAGTACAGAGAACAGACTGAAAGTAGAAGCACATTTTGTTTGCAAAAGCTAGACTTGGTTGAGAGGTAAATTTTCTCTTTTTTAATCCCTGAAGTAGAACTTTGAATATATCAATGGCAAAGCCTTAAGGGGAAAAGAGTTTATGCTATAATCCATCAAGTGAGGAATAATACACTATCAACAGTTTCTTCCCCTGAAATCTAGATACACAAGACAAAGATTCAGAGAAGGGAAGAAGAAGAGGGAAAAAAGATATTAACCAGTTTTTCTAAAGAAGCTGAATTATAATCCAAAATAGATTGAATTTTCTAAATGGGCAAGATTAAGTTTAGCTACCCAGTGTATATAAGCTCAGAGAGTTAAGCGAAATTTAATTACGTGAAAACAAGTTTCCATTTTTGCATACCTGGCTCCATAGCTGTAAATAAAAAACACATTGCATAGGCAACTACACAAATGTTTAACAAACAAAAACAAGAATACAGTAATTTTTCTTTCTTATTTACCCAAATTACATGAAATTAAAAAAGAGAATGCATTAGTATGTATGTAAGTTAATTGTTGTTTATCTATCTACTTAAAGATGGTCAAAATTTGCTTGACAAGAGTTTAATTATGATGATTAGTTTTCAAATTAAACAATATCCCATAGAAAGATATAAGCAAAACCTAGTTTAAGAATACAGAGTATGCATATAGTTAAATGTAAAATGAAAGATTTCTTGTTCCTATTTTACATCCTAAATCCTTTCTCCTGTCTCTTCTCTCCAAATTCTTCCTATATGTTAGAAAATGTAGATGGT